GAGAGAAAAACCCCCCCCCCCCCCCCCCCCCCATCGAGAATGGTCAGACCACAATCTCTTCTCTCTCATTTCTTCATCCCATCAGGATTTGGGGCACACATGCACAAATGCCCTCCATGTTTCTCAGGCTGCTGGGTCTAGGACTCGAACCATGGAATTAGCCATGTGGGATCCAGCTGCCTTAACCACCAGGCTACAATGGAGCTGGACTGCAATCTGACATTTTCCTATCATTCCTTCTATATTTATTAGCTAGCATTTTCTATAAAGAAGAAAGCCCTTTTTCACACTTTTAAAAGAATCTTTGTAAACTTATGGATTTCTTCCTTTTAATTCATTGTGTTCTAATCCATTACAATCTTCTTTAAAAATTCAAAACATGGGACAGGAGGTAATGTAGTGGTTTTAATGCTGGACTACTATGTGGCCGCTGTGGCTCAAGTTCCAGACTCAGTAGCTTGAAACTCAAGCCACGTGTGTGTCCAGGTGGAACCAAAATCCCAAGAGGGGAATGGAGGGAAGAAACTGGCATGGCCATCTCCTCCAGTGGGTAATTTTTTGATTTCTTTCTCTCTGGCAAGTGCATGTACCCTAATAGCAAAAATCTCTCAAAAAATTTTTCAAAACCTTTTTTTTTGGGGGGGAGGGGGTCTGCCATAGGGTGCATGTACTTGTTGGAGAGAGACAGAAGCAGTGAGAAAGAAAGAAATCAACTACCCCCACCCCAGGAGGCGGGGATGGCCACACCACAATCCCCTTTTTTCCAGTCTCTTCATGGATTTTGGGCACGCATACACAAATGCCCGACATGATTTTAAGCCACCAGGTCTGAGACTCAAACCGTGGTTGGCCATGTAGGAGTCCAGTGCCTTAACCATTATGCCGCCTGCTGGCCCTAAAAATTAAAAACATTTTATACTGTGTCCTGAGGGTGGTGTGGTAGATAGACAGCTAGGCACCAGATGCCCACATGGTCAACCACAGTTTGAATCCCAGATCTGGCAGTTTGAAGATCTTGCCAGGCATGTGTGCGTGCATGCCTGAAATCCCAGAGGAAAAGAGAAGAGAGCGGATTGCAGTGTGACCATCCTCCCTGGGCGGTGATTTCTCACTTTCCCTCTCTCTGTCTCTAGTGAGCACACACACCCTATAGCAAAACCCAAAATACAAACAACAACAAAAAATTTTATATTGAGATGTGATTTTCATACAGTAAAATGTACAGATATCAAGTATATAGTTTGATTAATTTTGACAAGTGTACTTATGTATGCCCATATAATGCATACCAAGTCAAAATGCACATCTGTTACTGCAAATAATTTCTTTTTGCTCCTTCCCAGTCATTTCCTGTGTCTCCTGCCTCACTAAACTGTACCTATCTGATCTCATCTTTATTCTCTTTGATGTTTAAATTGGCCTATGTAATCCAAGAGGGCATTCTTACTATTTTTATTCTGCATTAACTGTACATGGGAGATAAATGAGGAAGAGGGGTAAGGTGACAACATGGCCCCTAAAGCTTCTGATCTTGAGTAATCTTTACAAATTGGTTTGCAGTTACTGCTCTGGAGTTCTACCCTTCAATAACTTGTAACTGATTTTTATTTTAGAATGAACCATAGTGTTTTTACATTTGGGAGAGCAGGTTTGTTATGATACGTGTATGTGTATATGATCACTGTCTGAGGCCATTTAGAAAACAAAGCCTTTCTGTTTTTGTTTTAACTATTGAATCTTAGGTTAAACACCTCTGTGGATGATTTGTAAGTTTTTTTTTTTTTTTCTTTTTTACAGATTGAGGATTGCTTGAAAGCATTTGTCTGTTTGTTGAAGTTACCTGTTTTGCTTTTCTCTGTAGGTGTTTGAAGCTGTGATTTCATGGATCAATTATGAGAAAGAAACTCGTTTAGAACACATGGCAAAGCTTATGGAGCATGTCCGGCTTCCTCTCTTACCTAGGGATTACTTGGTCCAAGTGAGTACTTTGTGAAGAACCAACCACTTCCCAATTCACTCAGGCCTCTATGGATAGCAGTGGGTAACCCTAGATATATGGAGTGGTTAAGGAGTTAATGGAGTTTTTTGTGTGGGTCGAGAGTACCAACCCACTAGGTTAAATGTGAAGCATGTAAATGTCAAATTGAAGAGCACAGGTTTTAGAGTAAGACACTTAGATTTCGGCTCTGTTCTACTACTTATTAACTTTGAGTTTTTATTAACCTCTTCAAGCAGAATAGATATTACAGAACCCCACAGGGTTGTTGTGGGGACTAAAAGAAGTTGTTTAGCATGGAGCCTGGCACAACAAATATTCAGTACAAGTTAGCTGCTTTGCTTGTAGAGGACCAAAGCAAGAAACATCATTTCTATAGTGTTACTATATTCCCTTTTTGTCCTAGTTTTAGGCAAATTGGAGCCCAATTCAGAACTATAACAACCAGTTCTTCGCAGGTGCCTAAAATATATATTGCTTCTATATCCTCCAGGAAAGGAAAGTTAAGAATTATGGGGTGCCCTTATGCCATATGTTTTCTCATTTAATCCTTGTAACAATCCTATGAGGTACATATTATAACCTCCTTTTTACAAATTTGGGCCTTGAAGCTTGTAGAAACTGGACTTTCTCTGGGGTTGGGATTCAAATCCATGTCAGTCTGGCTCTGAAGTCATACAATTCTTCCACTAAGCTAGCCGCCACCTTTAATACTCTCCGTTCTGTTTACCCACTGCATGACTTATTTTGTATAGTAAATGGTACCATACAAAATTAGTACACAGAATTAGCCACTCTTACAAACAAGCAAGAGATAATCTTAAAATATATGAACAAAACAGAACACTGAGACAGCAGGCCAGCCCTCAGCTGTTTCTGAAGAATCTCCAGAAAGAGAAGGAAGGTGTGATGCAAGGATAAGTGAGGAGGCTTAGCAGCCCGACAGCTTAGAAGCAGCATGGCAGCTTACCAGCTCAGCAGCCCCACAGCTTAGCAGCCCCACAGCTCCGCAGACTGGCTCTTAGTGCTGCTAGCCGCGTAACACTGGGTGTACACTTAGCCTTTTTAAACCTCAGTTTCCTTATCTGGTACAGGTAGCATCTGCCTTTATAGTATTGTTTGGGAACAAAATGAGATAATGCACATAGAGCTTATAACACACTGTTCTGGACTATTTGCTTGCATTCCTACTCTCTTTGTGACTAGTGCTTTGATTGGTTGTAGCAGATGACAGTATTCTCTTGAGCACTTGTAAAGTCCTCTGCCCATGGCATTGTTGACCACAGGCTTTAAAGGGTCAGTGAAATGTTCTCTGAATCTCTGTACTTCAGCCTTCTCAGTTGCTGAGTGATATGTACTTGGAGGGCTTTACGTGGGTCCTGTACACTGCATTTGGATGGTTCACTGCCACCTGGTGGCAACATTATCTGTCTGTAGAAAAGGTTCCCTTAAGTGAAGGAACCGAACTTGCCAGAGCTCCTAGTGTCAGTGAGACCTACATTGTCCTGCGAGAAACTGAAGGTGGAGCTGGGTATCTGGCCTGTAACACAGTCTCACTTTCACAAAGAGGGCAGGTGACCTGGAGACTTGGATTCCTGAGAGAGTAAGGGTCCTTAGAGAGCCCTGGCCACAAATGCCATCTGGCATCCACAGCTGAAACTTAACAGAGACAGGGTTCTTGGAAATGGTTCCTGGGTTATATTATGACAAAGTAGGGCTTAGTTCTGGAAAAGAGGAGAGTGCGAGGCAATGGGCATGTGAACAGTTTGTGGGAATACATCCCTCCCTGCTTTTTTACAAGGCTATTGTCAGGCTTCAAAGGGTAAACACCTCTAAAAGAAGATGTTTCATCAACATTCATTTGACCTTGAGACTTCAAACTAGTCTAACCTGCTGGGGGTGGCTGACAGTGGTGTGGGAGGAAGGGAGAGCTCCAGGCATATATATTATGGTAAAATATATGTAACATAAGCTTTGTTCTTTTAACTATTTTTAAGTGCACAATTTGGTGGTTTTAATTACATTCACAATGCTGTACAACCATCACCATACCTAGTTTACAAACTTATTCATCACTCCAAATGAAAACTGTGTTCCCATGAAGCACTAATAACCTTCTAAGGGAAAAGGGCTAGTGTATCTGGCCTGTGACACAGTCTCACTTTCATAAAGCTGAGCAGATTTGTTGGGAGAAGTATCTGCTCAGGCACTTCTCCTTTCTCCCAAGCTCTTCTAGAGAGCTTTTCCCTCCCACTCTTGATTTTTTAACTAACCCTAAAAGTTTATGATTTGTCCCAGCCTGACTCAATCTCCCCTAGTGAAAGTATTGAAAAAAAAAAAAAAGAATATTACTGGGAATTGCCTCTGGAGAAGGATATGTCCAGAAGTGTCAAAGTCTTTGTCTTCTTAATCCTTATTTTCCCACCTGCTCCAATATGGTCCAGCAAGTGATGGCCCTGGACATATTTTCATTTCTGTCAATAAATGGGGACCCAGGAGAGACTCTGCAAGGCCTTGTGTGTGACTAGCTTGAGAGCTGAGATAATTGAAGTGGAAAGCTCTTGTCATTTTCTTACTGGTTTTGAGCTCCTTAGGGTCAGAAACCTTGCCTTGATCATTTTCTTCTGGAAGCCATCACAAGGCTACCTAGCCAGGATACGTTTAATCAGTGTTAGTTGTTGAATGGAAATAATGCTTCCTAAAATGAAATGCCCTCAGGCCACATCACTCATTCTAAATATACCACATAGTGATCTGGTCTGGGCCAAAGGGTGCAAATTGGAGTCAGAGCACCAGATTGGCTTCACCCTTGGTCTTGCTCATGAAACATCTGAGCTTACATTTGCTGAGTACCTGCTGTGGACCTGATTTCTGCATTAAGAGGTGAAGAAGCCAGAGTCTCAGCTTAGATGGGGTCCAAGGTGAGATCAATAGGGGGAACTTTGTGCAGGACATTTTTTCTGATGATTTACTACTCTATTAGAGAAAGCCTTACTGGCCAGTTATCTGCCCTGAGACTTTCACTGTAAGAAAATTTCCTTGACTACTTTATTTTACTCAATATCTCCAAAGGTTGGCTAGTAGATCCCACCACCTTTCCTCTTTCCTTGTCTCTCCTCTCAGATGTCTAACCATTTGCCCTAAAGATTGTATTGCATTCAAATCTAAAGGAATGTGGGAGGAGTTTTTTAGAACATTTGTCTTTTATTCTGTATAAACTCACTTAGGCCTGAGAAATAAACAAAGAAAACTAATGAGATTGTAGATATCTTTAGTATGCTCATTTTCAGATAAGGAAACTGAGAGTTACAGGTCTTAAGTGATAGAACTGTGATTTGAATCCCTGTCTGTTTGATGCCAGAGATTGATCACTTACCCCATTGGTGTCTTGAAATGTAGGAGATGAACTAAGTTGTAACTCTCTGGATCTTTCTCTTTGGGACTGAGATGTGTGGAAATAAATAAGTGTGAGAGTTCAGGAGTGACTTTGATCAGGGAAAGAACTTGGGCTATGTGGCTGAGCTTTGCTCTAGGATCATCTGTGGTTCTTACCTTTAGACAGTTGAAGAAGAAGCTTTGATAAAGAATAACAACACCTGTAAGGACTTCCTCATTGAGGCCATGAAATACCATCTGCTCCCTTTGGATCAGAGGCTCTTGATTAAGAACCCAAGGACCAAGCCCAGGACTCCAGTCAGCCTCCCCAAGGTAAGCCATAGCCCAACACTGCCAAGAGTCAGGACTATGTCCTGGAAAAGTGACCTTATACTCTGCCTCCAAGTCTTTCCTCACTCATGGCTGCCCTGCATCTTGGTTGCATTTATAATCTAGAAGATGAAGTCTGCTGGTTCTTCTTGAATCTGCTGATACCTCTCTTCTGGTGTGTTCTTTTCCTGAGAGTTTCAAGGTAACCTCCAGTGTCATTTGGATGGTTTGAGAATTTCTAGGAGCATTTCCCTCCTCCTACATTCTCATTTCACACCATAATTTGTGCTCTATTTCTCTTAGCAGCTAAGGAATGGTTATGTTCATCTTCATTTAGTGAAGGCCATAACATCTAGGCCATTCTTTGAATAAGAACAGTTCCATATTATTCCTTCCCTCATTATATGGAAGAACATAAAGGAAAATTAGGGCTGCAAGAAGGCAGAAAGGTCTTAAGGATTCTGATGAGTACATCAGAAGCAGGGGAAGGAAATGAGGGAAAATGAGAACTTATGAGGGAGCAGTCCCAGGGGAAGGGAAGGATCAGTATAGAAGGGGATCCTAAAATCAAGAGTCTTTGCTATATGTTTGCTGCTTTGGTCCCTTGCAAAATCCCTCTCTTCTCTGGCCCTCAGATCCCTTTCCTTAAGAAAAGGATGCTACACTTGCTAATCCCTAATGCTCTTACTGGTTTAGCATCCACAAAGTCTTTCTAGGATCCTACAATGATGTCTAGGAAAAGGCCCTAGTCAACCCAGGAGGAAAGGTGGGAGGAAAGTGGGAGTTTGCTCATTAACAACATGATAGCAGCACCAGGAAGTTATTTTGGTCCTTGTTTTGTGTGCTTCTTCCTCTTTCCAGCTGGCTGTCATTCTCCTTGCCTGCTACTTCCAGGAAGATTTCACAGGACTAGGGAAGCATACTGCTGTCCAAGACCAGATGTTGAGATTTCTGATGTTTGCAATTCCTTCTTTCCACTCTTTTCCATAACCCTAGATTATGGAGAATATAGTGGTTGCAGTGTGCAGTAGAACTTTATTGAATGCTAATTATTTGCTAAACACTGAACTAAGGATATCACATACATATTTTATTAATCTTCTTAAGAACTATATATGGTAAAGATGGTTTTTAGTCTGGTCCTATAAAGGAGGAAACTGAGGTTCAGAGAATGTCAAATGACCTGGTTCAGAGTTAATGCACTATGAACAGCATTTGAATATGCTTTCTCATCTTCCAAAGCTGTTCTCTGAACCCTTACCATTCGGTACCTGGTTTTACCTTTATACGTCTGAGTGTTTACTTACCTGTGTGCTTAATGTTGCCTATTGCTGGTTAGAAGCAGCTGCAGCCACAGACCAGGGCCTTGATCTGGTTGCCTATTTGCTTTACTGCATATTGAAGCATTTTATTTTGTTTTGTTGGAATGCTGCATTGAAACATCTTTTCAAAATGGAAATAACTTAGCTTTCATCATCTATGGAAACATGTGTTCATAGTAGATTATTAAAAGGATACTGCAATTTTGAAATAAAGTAAAAATCTCCTGAAATCTCTCTCAAGGACAAATACTACTACCATTTTAGTGAATTTTCTTCCAGACAAATCTCTGTGCACTTAGCATAAATAGATTAAAATGCACACTTTTAGGTAAATGGGATCTTGCTATACAGATTGAAATATTTTCCTCTATTCAACCATCTGCTACAGTCTGTGTTTAATGTTATTGATGTGGGTAAAATTGGCATTTAAATTGTAGTGAGTACATAGTACTTAATATATATTGTATTTATGTATCACTGTGTATTTTACAATCAATTGATGAGTGTGGCAGTAATTACCTTTTTTACTTGGTATTAAACTACTGTGTCAAGCATCTTTTAAGAGCTAGCATCTTGTTTTAGTTAGCATTTCTTTAGTTATAAATGAGATGAGTCTTGGCTTCATTAGCATTGCATTTATTTTTTGGGGAAGCCATTTTTCTGTTGGATTATACTTTAAAAATTAATTTTAAGGGACCTTTGTACATCAAAGAGGTTAGGCCTTTGTATGTATGTATGTATGTAGTTTTTTAAATAGATATTTTCTATACGGTGTGTGCACTTGCTGGGGAGACATAGAGACAGAAAGACAGAAAGTGAGAAATCACCCTCCAGGGGTATGGTCATACCTCAGTCCCTTCTCCATTCTTCTCTCAGGATTTTGGGCACACACGCACATGTGCCTGGCTTGAGTTTAAGCCACTGGTCTGGGCCTTGAACCACAGTCGACTATGTGGGAGTCCAGTGACAAATACTACGCCATCTGCTGATCCCTAATTTTTTTTCTTAGTTTGTGGTTTGCCTCTTAACTTCTTTATAACAATTGTATTTATTTATATAATTTTGCCAGAGGGTGTGTGTAGCTTGTAGGGTGAGGGGGAGAAGTGTAAAGTGAGAAAGCCTCTCCCATGGGGAATGGTCACACTATAATTCTTTCTCCTCCACTTCTTCCTCTTTTCTGAATTTTGGACACATATGCGTGCATGCCCAGCATGTTTCTTTCTCAAGCTCAAGGGACCAGGACTCAAACTGTGTAGCTGGCAATGTGAGATCCAGTCACCCCAACCACCACAACACAGGCTGGCCCAATGTAACAATATTTTTTTAATCCCCCAAAGTAATTTTTAAGTAGTCAAGTTGATCTATCTTTTGCCTTATTTGGATTTTCCATCATGCTTTGAAATGTTTTCTTTACTCTGAGATTATTTTAAAAAGCAGTCCCGGAACCAGCAGATGACATAAATAGCTATGTCACTGAACTCCCATGTAGTCCATTGCGATTCAAGTCCCGGATTTGGTGGCTTAAACTCACGCTGGATGTGTGTGTGTACATGCCCAAGATCCTGAGAGGAGAATGGAGGAGAAGGGATTGTGGCATGACCATCCCCCCAAGCCCCAGGGGGTGATTTCTCACTTTCTGTCTCTTTGTCTCTCTCTGTCTTTCTGGTGAGCACACACACCCTGTAGCAAAAAATCTCTAAAAAAAAAAAGTGGTCCCATATTGTCAAGAGCTTTTATAATTTCTGTTTTATATTTAAATCTGATACACTCGGGATTTATTTTCGTAAGAAAGCTATTATAGGGATCCAGATTTACTTGTATTGCAAGTGATGAGCCATGTCCCAAAGTCACTTTATTGATTAATTTTCCTCTTTCCCCATATATTTGAGTATCACTTTCATTATGATCTAAATTCCCACAAGCTTCTGTCTTAACAATGGTAATTCTAAGGTTCACTGCTGTTTTATGTGGCGATACGTTTTTCCTTCCGGGTTTTCAGCTGGTTTTGCTCTGTCCTGGTTTCTTTGTAACTGTTTCCTTGGGAAGAGTCTATGCTGAGTGCGATGAACTTTTCTTCCTATACAATATCAGGTTAATGGCATTTTTTGCCTAAGGAGTATGTTTTGGAGCTAAGGAAATGGTTCAGAGCTGGCCCGGGTTCTTTGTGTAGAGACCATTCTCAGAGACTTCTCCTTTTCTGGACTCTACATCCAGCTCTTACCACATATACCCACAATAATCAAAGCCAAGTTTGTGCTTGAGCTGGACTAAGCATCCTGGGAGTGGCCACCCCTAATGCCATCCTGGGTATTGAATCTATAGTTAAGAAAGGATACACTCCATGTTGAAGGAGGTCAGAATTATCCCTGTCACCTCTTATGAACCATCTGTTTTCAAAGTGGAAATGATCAGATACCTGGACACCTAACCTTCTGCAGGCAGCTGGAATCCTGACTTCCTTTGAATCTGTCGAAGGAAGAAGAAAATAAGGTGTCAATTCTTCTGGCCTCATTGCTCTCTTTAATTCTTAAATGATTTAAGGTTATATTGGTCATCCTGCTTCTTAAACTATACTCTTGTCACCATTGTTTGAACACTTCAATTAATGAGATCCTCACTGAGGCTTTGAGGAGCGAGCTATGCTGAGGGGTGCTATCACTTTGACGATTTTTGGGTTATATTTGATCACCTACATCATCACAATACTAGGTCAGTACTATTCATATCCCTTCTTTACTGAGGTTATCCAGAGAGGTCAAATAGCTTTATTAAGTACCAGCCAACAACTACAGAGCTGGGATTTGATCTGTCCTACTCCAAAGTCTGTGCTTTTTCTTTGATACAAAACTATCTCCTAGGATACAGCTTTCAGGTTTTGGTAGCAGATGAAAAAGATTATTTATTTCTTTCTTTTTTCTTTTCTTTTTTTTTTTGGAGAGGTTTTTGCTATAGGGCACGGGCGCTCACCGGACAGACAGAGAGAGACAGAGAGACAGAAAGTGAGAAATCA